ATCGCACCACTAGGATGAGTAAGAGATGAGTAAGGCATAGACCTGTCTAGACCGTTCTGGAGTAGTACGGATTGTCCTAGACAGTACCAGAAGAGTCCGGAAGCATAGCTATAGTACACGAGCAGAGAGTCCCAAATATGGTAACATACTACATAAGCGACTACAGCTAAGCGCTAGGAGACGCATAGCCTCGTGTAGTCCGGACCGGATAAGTCCAAGTTCAACAGAGGAACAGTGGTCGTAGATGTCAGAGGTCAAGGACGACTTCAGGCGAGCTATGCATAATGGTGTGAAGGAGAGGGAGAAATGGTGCAAGGCGTTCGAGAAAAACCCGAAGAAAGCGTTGAAGAAGTAGTTTCTTACATTTCGGCTGGAACTCACATGATATAAACAAACTTGATGCAAGGGTCTGCACCACATCTTGAAGTGGGTAGAAGAGACATGGTATGAATTTCAGGTCATGGCTCGTTATGAGGGGAATGTTTAGAGGTGAGAGTATGTGTATACGTCTATTCTTGGAAAGAGGGGTTAAGCGCCAATGCTACGACTGCGAGTGACAGTTCTCGGCATTTGACGTTCCACGACTTCCTTCACTGCAGTCACGATGAGAAGTTGAACTATCTCTTGTTCCTTATCCAGAGGTTCTCTGGTATTGTGCTTAAACAATACGACCGCTGTGATCCGATAGACCGACACCAGCCTCAATGTACACGAACCCATCAGCTTGAAAATGGCTTCCGGCTGCCTGTGGATTGGAACAACTTGAAATCAGGCGCGTCTACGGCGATCGGACCCCCTCGAACTTAGTGCACGGCAAGGCTGGTCTGCGGCAGTATTGTCAAAACGATGCTGTAGACTCTTATGGCCACAAGGTTGAAATGGCGTTGCAAGCTCAAGGGCGATATACTCTGATGGAGATGTCCAAGACAATCGGGTACTCGGTGACGCGCTGAGGGCCTGCCCGGTGCCAAGGTCAAATCGTTAGTCGGGACAGGATTTGTGTCTTTGGGATCAAATGCAAGATAGTCTTCCTGACTGTTGGCAGCAAAGTTGGTGATGATGCAACGGGCATCCATGACGAGACTGCGAGCGATGCCGTAGAGAGCGAGGCCCTCAGCAGGAGTCGAAAGGCGGGGAGAGAGAGCAGCGGCGAGATGTCCAACTCAACGTCGTAAGCGGGGTGTAGTATCCTGACTGGCCTGGATTGGACAACAGCTGGCAGCTGTCGTGGCGACTAGGTGCGTAGACTTGAGTCGATGTTCAGCGACGACCCCGTAGGCGAGCGGCAAGGAGCCGAAAGGGAAGGAGAGAGAGAGAGGAGGGAATAAACATGACAAGAAACTCGACGAGGGCAGAGCGGAGGCCGGCACGAAGGCACGAGACCTACGAAAGCTAGTCTTCACGCAGAGAGCGACAGACTA